TCTAGCCTCTTACACATGGGAAAAACCAAGAAAATGTACATGCAGCCTGTTTGCCTGAAATCGAACCTAGTTCGAACTACCTGTGTGCAGCGAAGTTCGACCGCTGGTGGATAGGCAAAGATAACAAAAATAGTTTAAATGGTGGATTAGCTGGCGGATAGGTAAAGGTAATAAAAGATTAAGAAAATAAATACTTTGTGACCACAAATAGTCGAAATTCTCTACAGAAATATTAATAAACCTCAGGCTGGTTTGTGACGTCAAAATCTGAGAGGTTTTCTGGGCGTGTACAAGCGTGTGCAATTTCGTTTCCTATTTTTACTTACACTGCTCGAAACAGACGGGCTGATAAGTAGAAAGACACTTATTGGGCGTGTTTGATATTCTGTTATCTCGGCTTTGTTACGAAATGCTGTCACTTCGGTTGCTTTTTTAAATTTACTTTTAATTGAAGTCTACGGCAATTGGTTTTCCGTTCTGCTGGTCTGAGTCTCGGATACTGAATCAGCGGATACGTGGAAAGGAATGTATGTTAAGAAAGGCGAAAATGAGAATTAGTAGGTAAACATAAAAATACTTTATTGTGTGAAATTTGATGTTTTATGGATATATATATATTTTTGACTGGAAGCATACTCATAAGCAGACTATTTATGGCTTACTGAATCCCATTCCTGGATGAGTGTCAAAAGTTAGGTGTCGGCGAGTTACAACATATTTGCCTTGGTAGACGCTACAGACTAGCTCGCAGCAAAAGCCTGATACACGAATGTAAAATCTTCTCCGTATAGCATGCAGCATTTACATGACCTCTTTCAGTTATCATCATGTCACCTTACATTAATAAGCCACCGTTTCCAAAGGAATTTTGAGTTCATTAAGTTAGCCGAATGGGAAAGATCGCTAAAAACTGGTATTCGATGTGGGTTCGCGATTTACGATTTCTCTCGAAAACTGAATTACCGGAGTAGGGCTTCGCTAAGCTGCGGCTTAATTTTAATTCAGGTTATACAGAAATTTTAATATAAGGTGTTTGAAACACCCTAATTTATGATTAATCCTTTAAGGTTTAGGAAATTTTAAATGAAAAATCATATGCATACAGGCACTGACGTGCCAGTTTCGAAATAAAAACAATAGACTGAAAATGTAAAAACAGAAATTGACATTTTGTTACACATTGTTTCTTGCGCCGACCTCCCCCTCCCGCCAAAATACTACAATCAGAATAGGACAAATAATTTAAAGAGGATTGTGTCGTAACACCCGAGTCAAGCTTACGTAATAAATTACACCAAGCTGAAGACAGAAAAGGAATTAATTAATTAATTAAAATTAAGGATTTAAATATGATTATCCGTTGTTTTCTATAAAAGCTAGTTTTGCTGTTATAGGAGATACCGTAAACGAAACTCCTTGATTTGTTTAGTAAGTAAAATTTCTTAAAATCGTTGCGGAATTGAACATTTTGGAGGTCGTGTCAATACATATTTGATGGCTTAAGTCGGATTAGAATAGCTGTCTTAGAAAATAGTATAATAATTAGATGTACCAGTGTTCGTTTATGTGCTCAGAAATATTGGTCATTTCCAGAGATGAGAGGATTGACTGTATTTCAGCCTTCTATGAAAAGTTAATTCCACTATATTATGCGGCAAGAATGGGGGGTTCAGTCATTTTTCGAATAAAAATTATGACTTTTATTTCTTGTTACTGCTCTCTGCTTCATCCTTCGCTTTAATCAGCGAGACCCTGAAAAAAAATTTTGAAGTTTTTAATACCTTATCTATTTTCTACCTGTCAAGGTATCATGTGGCATGTTTCATGAATATTCACCTGGGAAGGGGGTTGAAGAACTGAAAGAGCTGTTGTTCTAGAAATTATTTTGGATTAGTATTTTATGAGGACGCAAAGCCCCACGTCTTATCCCCCCCCGCTGCATGTTGTTTAAATTATGATTTGCCCACGTGCACGTCCTATTTCTAATCTTGTATTCTGTACACGTGTGTCGCCCAGAGAGACAACGCAAGGGCAATGTTAAAGGCAAACTCCAGTGTTTGAAATATTACTTTCGGAAATTGTCAAACGTAATATTTTGTTCGAAGAACCAGATATTTATCAACTTGCGTTCTCATTTCTCTCTTCCCTGGTTACTGGTTCCCTGGTTACTGGTTACTGGTTGCAGTGAGAAACTGCGAAACCTGTCTTGGAGCTACGAAAATGAGAGAAAGTGAAGTACTTAGGTCATGCTGGAAGACAGATATCTTTAACTGAAGGAGGACGTCGAAGGAAAAGGGGACATCGTGGCGAGGTTGAGCGCTGATCTAGATCGCCAGAACTTCCGGCGACGCCTTATGATAGGATCATCTTTTCAATAACTTTTCGTTTTCTTTTTATCTGCCATTGATTCCGTTTCTTTTACCTTTCTTAGCTGTTGAATATTTTTAGCTATCCGGTTTGCGGTGGTGATGAATTGATGATCTTTGATTAGTAATTTTATTTTCCTAGTATAAAAATGTTGTTAGAACATATATGCAATTTTAGAATTAAATTTTACTTTCAAAGGGTTTTTGCGGAGAGGATTTATTTTTCTTTTAGGAACACTTTTGTGCGCATCAGCATATTGCTGCTATTTCTGAGCAGTTGACCAATTCAGTATCCAAAAAACAGCTGGCATTCGAGGGCAAGAAAAAATGTGCACTCTTTTGAAAAGAAATGTCGACGAAGCTTCGAGAACTTGCAACGTTTGTCTAAATGCAAAATCGCTTTTTCTTTAGCGACATAACAAATTAAATGGTATGTTTTTATGTAATTTTAAAGTAACTATTGTTTAGGTATAAATTCTCAGCATGTACCACATTAGTGTTGCTTAAAATGTAGCCTTTTAGCGTAAAAGCTTCTTATCCTTTACACAGAAAACAAGGAAAGTAATTTAAAATCCGTATTGCATTAAGATGATTAGTTAGCTATTTTAAATAAGTTCGAAATGCAAATTAAAATACTCTGCCTGAATAAGTTGAAAGAATTTAATTACTTCTACATAATATGTGTTCTGAAAATATTAAATAGGAGCGGGGGGAGAGAAAATAAGACGGAGCTATAACGTTTTTAGATTAAAGAGCAAAAGAAATGCGAAGCGCTTTAAAGATTTTAAATTGTTAAATTATAGAAATAGCAAAATTATTCCTAATATTTTCAACCTCGTTTGTTTAGTTAATTATGGCAAAGCACACAGGGGCTACTGCCTAAGGGAAAGAAATACTTAATTGGAGGACTGTTTAACGGAAACTGGCTCCTACATATGTTACTCATAGGATTACACATATATTACACACATCTGGTACATACGGGGAAAATGAAAGTGCCAGTATAGCCATCCCTTTCGCTGCTATTAGAATGCATGTAAAACTACCAGCATTCAGCGGTCTTATCCGCTCGGCTAATGATCAATCTTACCTCTGCGTTTCTGTTTCATTTGCGCGCCTCTTTTGGTTTAAGTTTTAAAGGCTTTTCTATCGTTTCGCTGTATCTTTACGCCTCCTAATTTTAATTAGGAGTTTGCCCAATTTTCTTTTTTCGTCCCCTGTTGGCTGTTCTCACATATTAAGTAAATCCTGGATTAAAAGATTTCTGATATGTGCCAATATTTCGGTTGCAACGATAGGAAACTTTCCATCTTTATGCGAATCCAAATATTCTCAGACATTGCCGAAGTAGTGGTTTCATGTCATTTTAATATGTAATGACTCGTATGGACTTAACCTTGTTAAAAAATTGAAATGTATTGGATCTGTGTTTGCACAATAAATTATATTGCAATTGTAATATAGAGTAAGATTACTGCTCAGTCGTAATTAGTTCTTGATCGTTTGTTTCCTCATTGCTGATGTCAAGCTTCAATAATGATCAAATGCGGCGAGTATGCGGATATTTCTGATACAGAGGCATTGTTGCTGGTAAAAACTTTTGATGTTTTAGACCTAACTAGGAAAATTAGCGAGCAGTATTTGCTTCTGTGCGATTTTAATATCTATATTTTATGTAGAAATTTAACTGTTGTAAAATGTCTTCAGTAAAAGTAAGTTCCTTTGAGTGAATTAAGTGGTGAGTGCTTTTGAATTTAAGTGAATTAAAAGTAGAGATTTATTTAAATGGTTTTTATGCAACTGAAGTGATTTTGAGGGATTTATTAATGGTGACTTATTTCTAAAACTAATGCGTAAAATTTTTTTTAATATTAAGCGGTATTCAAACATCTTAAATTATTATAGTTTTAAATTGTCAAATATGTGATATGATTCTTAGATTTGATTGAGAAGTTTGGCATTCAGGAGTGGATACATGGGGCAAGGTCATTATAAAAATAGTAACTTAATTCAAATATTTTTTCTAAAAAAGGCCTATTCAAACGATATGAAAATGTTTTCATCTTTAATCTGTGGCTAATAAAACAAGCACCATATTTAAAAAATGTTAGGATTGTGCTCAACCACTATATGCATCCTAGGATTATTTGTAACTTACCTCCATCATTTAAACAATAGAATTCTTGATAAGTTCGTTATTATGGGCAGGATATTTTCTTTTAGAATGACTTCAGTGTCGTTTATTGCAGTAAGAACATGAAATAAATTATTCAAACTTTTTCATGTTGTTAAATTTATGTGCAGGCTTTATTTCTGTGATTTTTTTTAAAATTAAGTTTACGAATTTTAGAAGCATTGAATATATCGTTCTCATGCTATTCGTAATCAGTTTATTTTAATATAAGAAATGAGAGACTATCGAATTTCGAAATCATCGTAATCGTTTAAACAGAATTAAGTTTTGTAACTAGGGGAAAATGTATAACATTATTATGACAGATGTTTTATGTCTGCTTAGTTTAAATTCTGGCTTTGTTTTTTCATGTTAATATTTTTTTGTCTGCAATTTAATCCTAACTTTATTTTTTATGTTATAAATGAATATTTAATAAAATTTTGCTTTCTTTATTGCAGATATTAACAGTTGAATGTGGTAGTCCACTTGAATTTCGCAGTGATGTCCAGTTCGATGATGCATTACTTTTTGTAGCCGGTTGTGACGAAGATGAAACCTTTTATGTTGGTCGCTATGTTGATCATGAGAATACATATTTCGGCTGGGCCCAACCATCAACCAAAATCCTCTATATTCCTAGAGATTCAAAACTAGGATCTCAAAAAGCAAAAGAAAATTATGATATTATGGTCCATCGCTACCTGGATCGCCTTTGCATTTGCCCACCATGTCCGCATCCAGAATGAGATTCACATAGTGGCTGTATGTGTAGCTCTCTATAGTTTTTTACTCTTTCAAATGTTAATTTTAATAACTTAAATCCATATATTATTTTTAATCATATTTTTTTATAATTTGTAAATTTATAAATGTTTTGGCTATTTCTACCAAAGATTGTGTTTACATCTTTAATGTTAATCCAAAGAAAGACTGGCTTTTATACTTAATATAGCAGCTAAAATAGTTACATTATAATAAATTTTAAAGTTTTATTTTAAAGTGCATCAATAAAATATAACGACACTTTTCGTACTTTAATGTTCAGTAAAGATGTGCTTAAATAAGCACTTTTTTTAAAGAAATCTTGCATTTGATGTAAAGTACGCTATCTTGTTATTTTTCAAGTTTATAATTATATGAACAAAAACACCTTATTAAAATTCATTATTAGAAGTCTTTTATTTTTCTAATTTGTTTCACTAACGTGTGTTGCAGCTATGCAAATGTACAGCTAGTCCTGTGAATTATTGTGTGACATGATTAGATTGCAATCGATCAGTATTTTCAAACTTGTGATGTATTGCTTTATCTAATGCAAGTTGTTATGAATAAAATATATTCTGTTTCAATTGTATAGGTTTTCATTTAATTCATTAACGATTTTTGTCTTTTCGGTTATTACTTTATTTCACTTATTTGACATAGTTTTGATATTTAAACGCCATGTTCAATATAAATGTATATACGAAAAATGATTGAGAATAGAAATAAGTATTATTATATCATAAAACACTCCTTATAATAATAACGAATATGAATTCATGAATTACCTTTTTTGGTACTTACTCAACTTTTACTTTTTTGGTATTATCTCAACCACCTTAATAGAAGTCGCCAAACTCTGGGAATCATACGCATAACTTTCTGTAGGTAAGCATATTCATTGTAAGTTGCAATCCAAAAATAAACCGAATGACATTTTTCTTCTGTGAGAAATCGCCAAACTGCGCCAAGGTGGTTGCGCTAATACTTAAGTACCTCTTTTTTAATATTTAGTTTTTGAAATGGGAAGATGGTAATTTAAATAAAGAGCGCAACTTAGATGAATCTGTAACTTCAAAAGATTGACATTTATGCAAAAAACGAGCTTTTACCTCGTTTTCACTAGTGCAGTGTGCGTGCGAATTGTTTAACCCTTTCTGTGCGGCCGAGTCTTAATATAGAGCGTGCGTGACTGATGGTGGATATTCAGCAGCGACAAATGTAATTTTGGTACTCTTCTGTTATTGGGACCCGATTCAGAAATATATGTATGCACATGCATGTTTATGTATTTGCGTGTATGTATGCATAAACACACATACATTGTAATGTACATGCATATATGAACACATACATCCATACATTTCTAAATCCGGTCCCAGTAGCAAAAGAGTATGGTAATTTTTTTTAAAATTTTTGCATAAAAGTATAATTAAGGTTAGAATTACCTATCCATTTTTTCACCAATGGCAGGCCTTCAGTCGACTCTGGCTTGTCCACTACGAAGGCCAGAGATGGTGGTCACTTTATTATGGAGGCACCTAATAGATGGGCCACCTTTGCCTCCTAGGAAGGGACAGACAGTTACAACCATATCTTCTCCGGGATTCGAACCCGGACCCTTTGGTATTGCAGTCGGCTCTCCAAACCATGATATTTCGCTGATGATAAGCAGATTATATTTCTCATTATTTATTTGTGCCTCAAAATGTTTTACTTGAAAGTATTTCTGCGCAGCATAGTTGTAAGAAAAATTAAAAAAATTAGAGGGACTATTAAGATCTGCTCACTGAATTTATTGCACTTAATGCTCGACAAATTTTTATGTTTCTAGGAACGTGTATTTAAATTTTGTCTTGTTGCTAAGATTGTTGGTTGAAACGTACTTTCTTATTAGCTTATTTCTTTTTCGTTCTTTAGCCAATTCAGGAAAAAAAAAAACTGATGGTTGAGAAGATGGAGATTATTGTAATATTTTCTTTAACATTTTTTTTATTAGCTAGCCTGATAATCTTTCGATTATAAATGTCAGTCGCATATCCTCACATAGTTTTCCTTCCGCATCTATTATTGATAATGCCACTGTTTGCTTCAGGTAAGAGCTGTACTGACAAAAAATCAGACAGTATTTCCTTTCGCCTTTCTTCTTTGTACGGTACGTGGAATATGTTACTTTAAATAATTTTGAAAATAATCTACGAGCATTTTAAAAAGCGTAATTAGATGCAGTTTCATAGCTTCTTTTTTTAAAAAAAGAGAGATTGCTTTGTTGTATGGTTAAGTTAACTGAGACAAAGCAACTCTAGAGCTATCTGCCCATAGGGAGTGATGCCTTCGAGGAGGGCTTTTTAAGGGAACTGGCTCGTACACTTAAGGAAAACCAACCATGCGGCCCTCCCGTTCGCTGGTATTCGATCCGAGATCGAACTACCAGTGTTTAGCGACTTTACCGCTCGGCCTTTGGCAAGCCGCTTGTAATATGAAAGCCATCAATAAGTATATCATTGCGTTGAATGTCCACGGACTATATTATGCTTTCTTTTTAAAACGCCTTTATGAATGAATAGTTTGTTTCCAACAGGAACCTTGATTTTTCACTTTTGCTTTCAACCTTGACTGCACAGTTTTGCGTGTTACCGACAATAATTTCGACTGCCGTTGGTTAAAACCGCAGAGCAGTGTTAGTTATTCTTAGCAAGCGGTGTTATCCATATGCAACGTTAATACAATCCAGTATGTCTTAGAAAATCCTTCACGATGACGTCCCTTGTCTTTGGCAGAAGAGCCTTCGTGTATTCCAAATAATTTAATCTAATTCACGAGTAAACGGGCTGACTATGGACTTTTCATGGTTTATCCTATGTGTAACGTAATTTGCGACTGATGTTCTTGAAAAATGCCTCTTGAAGGTATTGTTCCTTCTGTAAACAGCTTTCGGATGCTTTAGTTTAATTAAATACCTGAAAATTTTAAAATCCCGTAAAACTGGTCACCTATCTAGTCTAGTTTTACTAGATTTCCTTTGGAAACTGAAGGATATGCCAGATTTCCAAATTATTCTTCTGATTATTTCAGATTTAAATTCTTTCTCACAATGGTAAATTAAGTTCTTCATTTCTGAGAGATAGTTTATTTTTGTAGATATTTTGTATTTATTTACAGCAGTGATTCCCCAAATATGCGGGAGTAAGTCAATTTTTCGTAGGTTGCAAAAAGTTTCTGAATTTATTATAAGTGTAACTACTTAGCAATAATTAATTTATAAATATTAATTAATTCTTAATATTTATGTCTATTTTATTGTTGTAGTTATTATTTCATTAATACATCATTGTCTTCCCTTCCCATAAAAATTATTATGCCAGATGTGTCGCAATAATTCGCAGCTATATGTACGTAAATTGCAAGGAAAAAATTTTACGAATTACTGATCTGTAGCATGGGAGTTTAACCGTAGTTATCTCATAATCAATTCTGACTCATGTAAGAGAACATCCTGATGATAAGACTACCTAACATTGCCTTTTATTTCTGCTTTTTACAAATTCATGGTGTTAGTTTTTATTATTTAACAATAAGTCACCTCAGTTAAGTGACATGGTACTTTGGAAAATATATTTAATATAATATTACTGAACTAATAGAAGACCCTCCCCCATCGAACTTTCTCATGTAATGACTTGCTACTGTAGGAATTCAGAATATTAATTTGACATCTTCATTTACGAAGAATATAGTTTTCCGTACTCAAATTTGAAACTGTTAGGAAAACTAGACTGGATTTGTTTTTGTAAGAAATAACGTTTAGTGAGGAGGAGGGAGAGTTTAAAAATTTCTATATTATCCATGTATGTGTTAGAATTTGAAAGAGTAATTATTAATATAAATTGCGTTGGTAATTGTTATTCGCTTTAAAAAAATATGCAGAAAAAAAGTGTTCTTATATGCATCAACCAAAAACCTGAATATACTGCTTCGAATTAAATCAATTTAAATGCGCTAGAACTTGAAATCTCGTATGAAACTGGAACTGAATATCCGATCTACAGAATCTTATTCTAAATGAAGAACAAATTTTAAAACTGTTATGAGATGTTTTCATTAAAGCAGAAAATTTTAATGCTTTATTAATATGTCATAATAATTGACATCAGAAGTAAAAGGTTACATCTACGAGAACAAGTTTATAACTCTTACTATAGTAACTGCTACCAAATATTTCCTTTAAAATTCTTGTTTGAATTAGAATTGTTTAGAGTCATCATAACATATTGTTTCTGAAAGGAATTTTAATTCAAAAACTTGAAGAGAATGCACAATGGTTCAAAAATTGGAAGAGAGTGAACATTAAGTTCAGGTCCGTACCAAGTTACATCACACGTATACCTTTCTGAAAATAGTACTCAAATGTTTATTAACTACGTTGTTTAAAACAGAATTAAATAAATATAAATTTCTATAATCTACCATGTAACATTACAGTGATAAAACAAAATGTATTTGAAATTTGATGCAGTTTTCCTATGAGCAAATTTAATTTTTGAATTTATGAAGTCAAACCTTCATTAGTTCAAATACTAAAGTTTCTAAATATTGCACAGAAACGTGCATCCTATAGTGTCTTTTATCTGCTTTATACAGGGTTCCGCAGAAGTAGCATCTTTTTTCATGAGCAGATAATCTACATTAAATATTGTTTCTACACCATTGCTATTCTAGTTCCTTACAAAAAAGCCATAAGCACATAATAATGAAGCATGTCATACGGCAGTTTTGGTAAAGTATGCTGCTCATCTTGCGCAACTGCTTTCTTAAAAAAAAAAAAAAAAAAAAAAAAAAGGCGTTACTTCTGTCAGATCCTGCATTTTACCCGCTTACATTCGCGTTTATTTTTACAATGAATTATGAACTTTTACATGATAAAATGTCATAGAAACTGGGCTGAATACTTGACCATTTAAATTGCACCTATTTGCATATGTACATGTTTTAGTTTATAAAAAATAAATATTTACAGAGTATTCTTTCAAGAAATTTTGATCATTACCATAAAATGGTTATTATTAAGTATTTCTTTAAGGCATAATTATTTAACTTTGAGCTTACAGATCTAAATTTGGATTTCAGCATGTAAAGCGAAATTTATTTTCCATCAAATTTTCTTAACTCTTTACTGTTACGTTACATGGTATCAAATGAGCAGTCAATGAAGAAGCAAATTTAAATAAAAATGTATATGAATGTTCTATTACAATTTACGATCATTTTTTCTTCTTCGTCTTTCAATAATCATTTGCCTTAGAAGCCTTAGCGTGCTCAAGCTAGCTCCAGTGCCTGATTTTACGTGTCTACCACTGAGTACTCTTGTTATTCTTCTCCGTTCATCGGGAATGGTATCACTGAAAACTCCGGAGTCTGTACTTCCACTTGATGTAGATTCACTTCCAGGAGATCCAGAGCTTGGTGGTCCTGATGTGGGTAAGACTGGAGCCCCTACTTTGGGGTTAGTGATTAATAATCCTTTTAGAACAACGTCATCTGGATGAGGACGAAGTGCTTGTGAATAGAATACATGAATAGGTTTATTACCTGACTCATGTTGATGTCCCATTTGTGATGACTTTTCAGCAGCATTGCCGATTCTGCTTCCTAAATGAGTTTCACATCTTAACCCATCTTTGCAAGCCTTTTCTATCTGGCACCGAAGCCCTGGCGTGAGATCTGTATGTTTTAACGACAGCCATTTCCCTTCGTTCGAAGCAGCTAGTAAATGTTTTATGGTTTCATCTTTCCTGTTTGCTTCACTAAGAGAGGTATTAATAGGCGCGGAAAGTTTTCTTTTTAGACACTGCATGTTGTCCACTTGTTTCGCATCATGACTATTTAAATTATTCCTGAAATACACTGACGATGAATTAACGGGAGTGAGTAAAGCTGCTCGCAGGTAACTGTTCGACTCATTTAACGGACAGCATGCTCTAGTATTTACAGCACGATGATTAAAGTCTGTAACAGTTGAATTTTGTGCTGGTGTGATTCCTTCCACCGATGCTTTTGAAGCAAGAGATTGATCATTACATCGGGAATAAAATTTTCGATAGTTTGGAACAAATTCTTTAACTTCTTTATCAGCTGACACTTTTGATTCGATTCGCAAGTGGCAATCCTTTGAAATTCGCCTGAAAGCGCTAGGTAACTCTCGATTGCTGTCAAACACAACGCATATATCTTCTGTATTCGTTGGAGGAAAGGTGTTACGCTTCTGTTCAAGTGCACGTCTCAGTATCGTATTTTCTTGATATGCCAGTTGACTTTTTAATGCACTTCTAGACTCTAAATCATTGACTGAAATTTGTCCGGCGTTTAGCTGAGATGATTCCTTGCTAGAGCTGAAATATTCTGGAATATCACGAATGAATGTATTTGTTAAAGTAATCTGATGCTCATAATTTTTGGATGGACAATTTGCTCGGGAGTAAGAATAATGACCAGGAGTATGCGTTGCCCAGCCTTTCTGTGCAGGAGATATCGACCGAGATTTCTGCAGAAGCGAAGCAAGTATTTTTGTCTCATGTTTCTTTTCTGATTTCGAACTATCACCTTTTAATGGATTTCCTCTTTGAATGGCACTGTTAACTCGAAGATCCATAGGATGGTCGGTCACAGATTTATCAGTTAATTTACTATCTTCATAGTGGTCTTCGCTTTCCACTGCGGGTACTTGAAATTCCTGCCTCATTTTACCTAATGCAAATGCCAGAACGGTACAAGTTTTACGGATTCACTGGAAATCCTTGAACTTGATAAGTCATATTTTGCGTATATACGAAAGGTATTTCTATCAATGCCTCTATCTTTAACCGAATGATTATTCTTTTTAACTTTTGAAATTTGTACTGCGAATAAAATGCTACTTGATACACGACGGACTTCATAGGTGAAGCAAATTCAACGTTTTCAAAATTTCAGCAACAACTTGTGGAAGAGGTCATCACTCGGATCTTTGTACCCACAGGTTTTGTTCCTAATGTCATCCAGGAGGACGAAATTCTGAAAGAAAAATTACGCCCAAATTACTCTTTGGTAAAAAAAATTGCATAACATCAAAATAAAAGATAGAATTTATTCAAACAGTTGTAAATAACAGTATTTTTAAATTGGGTTTCAAAGAATGATTTCCTGCTATATTTACCTTTAGAAACAATCAGAATTTCTTAATACTTCTAGCTACGTATGCCACAGACTAATTTATTTGGAAATTAAGTATTATTTTTGCATCTTCCACTTCATTTACACGTAGAAAAAATTTATAATTTCTCTTTCATTTACTTACCTCAAGCTGCATAATTACTGATATATGAAACATACATATGATTACTAGAATGAACTTTTCTACATCACCGCAATTAGTTTCCTCTATTTTAAGCATTTAAATTTATAATTAGTCAAATAAAAAGAAGATTTTTATAAAATAAACTTTCATTTAAAATTCATGAAATAATTAATGCAAAAATGAAATAAAATGAAAAAAGTAATTTATCATATAGTTTAATGAGGCAAGAGATTAAATCATATTCTTTACCATGAATAAAAAAAGCATTGGGCGCCCTTGATAAATTTATAAAGATAATGTCTTATACTTTCGAAAACGCAATTTCGAGTTGTTAGATTTCGTTATTTGGGCGCCCATAATTTTATTATTCATGATATAAAACTGTAGATAACTTTGAAAAGAATTTGTATTGCTTTTGGTTTGATTTAATCTATTGTTTCCATTTAACTAGATGATAAATTATTTTCCTCCTTTGAGTTCGTTAATTATATCACGAGCTTTCAATAAAATATTATTTTAGGAAAACATTTTTCTAGTTTCTTTCCTTTTAGTCTGAATTACACGTGAACAATAAAATTATTCAAATGAAAATTCGTTTTTCAATAGTGAATAGTCACTCTCTTACTTTCAACAATTCTCTTACTTTTTACAACCTTAGGATAAAATATATTATTTCTAACTTTACGTTAAAATTTACATACATTATATGTGATTAAAAAAAAATCATGTACTAGCTCTTAGAATATTTTGGACTGTGCTGTGCTTAATGTGCACTTCATTCTGCTAAGAGCAACCTATGCTTGGCCTTCTGCAAATATTGTTTTCTTAGGTGAATTACCACATCTGACATACGTTCGGTCTAGCGGTTAGTTTAAAAAAGAATGTATATAAAGTTGCTTAGTTAAATTTTTTTATCATTCTTCTTTAGAAAGAGGGTGAACAATTAGTTTTATAACACGTAAAAAGTTCAAATATTAATAAAAAAAGACATTTTTAGATGCTGCACTTGTTCCGATTTGAATAGACACTTTTCTCTGCCTCCGAATGGCAACACTGAAGTCAGTAGATGCGGACTGATTTAGAGGACGCTAAGTGGTAAATTCAGTCATTAATGGGCTTAAGTAGTTTCTTATACTTTTTCATTCGCGACCCCTTTTTATCACTGAGATTCTTTCTCGATCACAGGACCCCATAAGCATTGCGCAAATCCGACACACGTGTGTGTGAAACTGTCAATTTTTTCCCTTGTACTGTAATATGCTATTGCAGTTTTAGGTCATTAACTTTAACACGTGCAAAGCAAGTAAAATGAACGTTTCTCTTGTAAAAAGAATGAGTCGAAACGTTTTCCTTTTTTCTTTGTCTGCATAGTCTTATCTATATATCTATTTTCAGATACATCGTGTAAAAATATTTGATAATTGTAAAAGTATTATAATAAGGTGAAGAAATATTGAAACTGCTAAATTTTTGGCCCAAGGCGTTTGACTTCCAGAGTACCTTTGCAAATTAATGCAATTACCTCCACAACTTCGATAAGAAAACTGAAGTAATTAAGAAAAAGCAATGGCTAAAGGGAAAGGAACGAATACCCTCTGCTTCAGGTCCTGCGACCCACAGTTTAAGAAATGCTGGGCTAAAGCAAAGAAACTCGAGAGCTATCTACCTGTGCAAAGGGATGCCGTCGTGGAGGAATTTTTAAGGGTAACTGGCTCATATTTACTTTACAATGGGGAAAACTAACCATGCAGCCAGTCCATTCATCGGGATTCGTCCCGATCAGGTCAAACTACTAGTATTCAACAGCGTTACCCCTTGGCCGCGGGTGGACTGCTAAGTGGTAACAGTGTAAACCTTTGAACTTGCTTCGCAGCTTGAATACTGCGGATGAGATGTTAAATGGATTCTATATTAGGTTAATTTTTTGGTATTTTAATAAATTTCATTTTAAACTAGATTGAATGTTGACTCAGATAGAAATACCGCTGAACAGCACATGTAGAAATTTAGATGCGGCATTTAGATTCATTATAGAACTTTGTTAGATATGCAGCGCCATTATTGTCTGTTGTATATTTTGGTGCATTCTATGCACCGGGAAGGAGGTTTAAGAAGAAAATTTAATGATTATTTGAGGAATATTTCGAAGGAATCGTAAGTGTCAAGATTTGAATTCCATTAAATAATTGGATGTACATCTGAAAAGGTAAGAACATTTATTTTCTTTATTTAGCATAGGAATAGGAAAGCTGAAAAAAAGTGAGAGTTAGTCAAAGGCTCAGTTACAAAGCATATCAGTAAAATAGATAAGAGTATTGAAGAAAATAAGCTATTATTAAATCAGTTGAAAACTAAAGAATATCAAATTAACTGATAACTCGATACTGACATATTTAAAGAATTTTGATGCGGAAATTTATTTCGTAGAAGAGTATCACGATAATCTATTGAAATACAAGAGTAATCTAACTGTTAAATAGACGAATTATCAGGAAGTACTAGAGATAATAATTCTAATGAAGAAATAAATGTGTCCAATTCTAATTTTCTTCCGAATCGAAGCACATAAACTTCATGTATAAAATTACCTAAATTAACTGTAAATAAGTCAGTAAGGTGATTCAAGCAGCTGGTAGGAATTTTGGAGTCACTGGTGAAGCAGCTATTCATAACAATGAGTCATTATCGAAAGTAAATAAATTTAATACTTAAAAGTCGCTATTAGGTGGGATAGCCTATACATCCCGATTCCGGACTTTTATTCCGGAATTACTATTCAGCTATAACATTGTTAACTTACAGGTTTGAGAGAAAAGATTTGGTCATATATGGTCATATATGCTCACATGAATAAGCTGTTAAATATTTTCCCTGTTAGAAATATAAGGTACAGTCGCTCAAACAATTGAGAATACACCTTACTTTCACTTGATAAATCCAACTTTCAATGGAAATAATACATTAACTAGACGAGAAAGCGTGTTTTTATTTTCACACGTAAAACAAAAGGGTTAATTTACAGTAAAAATAACGAAAATAAACAAAAAATATCTAAAATTAAAAATTTCACTAGTATTTGAAATAAACATAGGCAGATCTTTAACTCAAAAAATTAAGGATACACCAATGGAATTTTTGTGATATATCACATACAAAGACAGTGTCAATATTTGGTTGCATGTCCTTTGGCTTTTATAATGTCCTCCAAACATCTTGGTACCGATTCGACCAATTTTTTGGTGGTATCTGGAGATATTTTATCCGCTTCTTCTTGTAACACTTGATTTAAATGGGCTTTGTTCCTAATTTGGTGTTTCTGGACCGCTGTTTCGAGTGTGGCCCACAAATTTTCTATGACATTGATGTCAGGGGACTGTGGTGGTGTTTTCAGTTGCTGTTTACAATGAAAAAGACACCACATTTTGACATTATGTGCCGTGTGTTTGGGGTCGTTGTCGTGCTGGAATATAAAATTTTCATCTAAACCCAATTTTTTTGCACTTTCTTTAAGATTGTTGTGGAGTATATCTATATAAAGCTTATGATGCATTATGCCATCTATAAAAACTAAATTTCCTACCCCATTTGAAGCCATACAACCCCAAACCATGACGGAGCCACCACCATGTTTAACTGTAGGACGTAAATTTTTTGGATCCAAAGCGGTGTTCGGCTTTCTCCAAACGGTGCGACGACCATCACTTCCAAAATGTTGAATTTTCTTCACTAAATATAACTTTCTTCCAAAATTTATCTGCCTTCAATTGATGAGTTTTTGCAAACTCCAAACGCTTTTTCTGATTTTGTAAGCTTATAAATGGTTTCTTTCTAGCTACTCGACTGCTATATCCAGCATGTCTAATCACATTTCTCACAGTTTCAGCACTTACACTTCTGCATATTATTCGAGAAGTTTCTGCAGCTAGTTTGACTGTACTTAGTTTAGGATCAATCTTGATATCTTTCAAAATTTTCCTTTTGGCTACATCACTCAGAAAACTTTTCCTTCTTCTTCCACTTTTATTTTCAATTAATCCATCGCTTTTAAATCTTCCAATGATTTTCTGTACACACGAGTGGCTTCTACCGACAATTTCAGCTATTTCACGATAAGATTTCCCTTTCTTAAATAACCTTAATATAAATTTTCTTACATCAATACTGGTCTCTCTCCGAGGAGCCATTTTCCATTTAAAATTGCGACTTACATTCAAGTCCCCGCAAAACTTTTTTTTTTTTTTTCATAATTTACATTCCAGTTACTTTAAAACACAATTTTCGGAATTAAACATTCTACATATGGGTTTCCTCTTTTTTGATACTTCTGCTAAATTTATATTAGGAGATAATATAATCAGTATTTCATTAGATATATATATATATATATATATATATATAATTGAAATAGAAATTAGTAATGAGACGTAAGACCTATTTGGTCTCAAAAAATTTTTTGCGCATAATGCTGCAAAAAGATATGAAATAATAGTAGGTAGAAACATTGCAGCGATCTTGCTAAAAAGTTACCAGGAGCTGTAGCTCTACGAAATAGTTCAACGCTGTATTACTAAAGTATGAACTAAGAAGAATTTTTTTAAAAAACTTATCTGGAAAACTGGAAAAAAACTGTAAACACGCGAAAAAAACCGTTAAAATTAAAATTAATGTTCGAAGACATGCGAATGCACGAAAAAATATCTGAGCGTTGTGATATGTGAAAAGTTAATACACATAAAAGAATAGATTGACGGAAAAAATATATATGAAAAGTTAATACACATAAAAAATAGATTGACAGAAAAAAATATACCAAAACATAAAATGCAAAAATTATAATGAAAACGTAAATTGCTAAAATACGAAAATACAATAATTACAAAGCGGAAAATGGTAAATTAACCCACTCGTACCCTCTGCCAGGCTTTTCAAGGGAAAAATGACTGAATGTACGAACTAGGCTAAATACCATTACGCGTTTCGCCGAAACAGACCATTGAAGCTCTTGTTTGATGGGCAAAAATTTTTTTTATAAAACATGAATAGTCCCGAATAAATCTTTTTTGGAGCTTCACTGCTCTGTTCCTTTTTCCCGACGCGTCCGCTGAAAAACACATTAGGGTGTTAAGAATGTAATTGCAACTCCGAGCAATGTAAAATTAAAATCAAAATAAAATAAATAGCGGTCTGCTATTAGTCAAAAAATTACAACAACGTACGGGCTGGTCCTGCACAGCTTAAAGAAGATAGAACTTTTATAAAGAGAATGGTGCTGTAGTCAGATTAATATGAAATTAAATTTGCAAGAAAACAAACGTCGTTGGGTCTTATTAGGACCAAAAAAAACACAGACAAAAGAAACGAAAAAAGTGACCTGTAAGGTGCCGTCCTTAGCATCGCGAAAAAAATTTTGAAAAGGGTGCAAATCCCCTCCGTGTCCTACCAACCTTCCTTCTCGTCGTGTGACGTAGGTGGGAGAAACAATTAAAACTGCATAGGCCAATGGGCTGAGATTGTAGTTTTGGCGGGAACTCCTGTTCCCCCCTTTTTATAGAGGGTGTGACAGACGTGAAAAGACACGGAAAGAACTCAAAATGGCGTCAGTCAAGTTGTTAGAAGAACAAAACTGCTACAAATAAGTGAAAATGGCTAATTCAGCTAAAATTACTTATTTTGGCCACAAAAGAAAGAGTAAATTGGAAGAAAGTCATTTGTTAATAAAAGTCGTCATTCTTCAAGCTAGAGGGCGGTCAAGCTACTATGAAAAATGAAAAGGCCCGATTTGTTAATAATAGTAGAATTTGGCCATCTAAGTAATTTAAAACTATTAAAACAATAGTATGAAAGTATAGTGCCAAAAACTTTGGAGGAAAGAAAATGTATTTACGAGAATAATCTGTACATTTATACAATTTTTACATTAGATTATCTGAATCAGCCATCCACTTTATACTGTCCCACTGGGCTTTGAGCATAAAATTTCATTATTAGGCCAGTCTAATTCTAATGGTGAATTATTAAATATGGATATCACTATTGACGATAAATTGATCTTAACTTAGATAAAAAGTTTGGCTAATTAGAAGCACTGAGAACTAAACAAGGAAAGAAAAGTAGTAAAATAGAATAAAAAGCGATATGAGGTGAACTTCGAAAGGGGATTGTAGTAAACTCAAGAATCACAGATGAAAGTTTCGTTGAGAACGTATTCATCAAAAAGTATTCGTCATTCAGTAAATTGGTTCGAATTATTCCGTGGTGTTTAAGATTTGTGACCAACACTAGAATCAATCTATCATTAAGAAACGAAAGTTAAATATCAACTTCTTTTACCAAAAGACGTCATTTAACTGAATTACTCATGGATTATTATCACAAAAAATCTCTTCATTCGGGCGTTCAAACAATACTTTCTCTTATGAGACAATTATACTGAATACCCTCTGAAAAAGAAGGAGTTATACGTGTTATAAATAAATGCATGACTTGTTTTCGGACGAGAGATCAAACTATAAACCGAATGATAAGGAGATTAGCTAGAGCCAGAGTGGTAACAACTAGACCATTCGAAAAAATAGGACTAAACTATGCAGGACCTGTTGGTACCAAACCTAATTTGAAAATATCTAGAGTTACTTTAATATAATATATCGCAATACTTAATTACTTTCGTACAAAGGCATTTAGAAATAGTATCAGTATTTAAAGCTTAATATATTAATTACACAAATAAGATCTTGCTTGAATTCTCGAACTCTATCACCTATCTCTGTTGATCCAATGGATCTTCAGCCTTTGATTCCAATCATTTCCTACTAGAAGCTCCATTTTTGCCGATATAAGAACCAAATGACACTGTAGATCCTTTGTCTTTATCGCCTAGGTGGACCTTAATTCAGAAACTTAGAGCTATTTTTTGGAACCGTTGGAGCGTGGAATGTCTGAACCATTTGCAAGCCCGTTTAAAATGAAATCAACGAAAATCCAACCTCAGAGTAAAACAACTAGTTTTGTTGAAGAATATACACAAGATTCATTTGAAGTGTACACTAGCTCGCATTGAGGACTTCTTTCATGATTCGGATGGACTAATACGAATCGTGGACGTTAGAGCATCAGATAGAATCTTTTGTTGAGAAGTTTCCAATATCAGTCCGCTTCCATTTCCAAATGAGGTTGGACAACCATCAACGGGGCCGGGATGTTCTGGTTTGAATAGACACTTTTCTCTACCTCTGAATGGCAACACGAAAATCAACAGACGCATACTGATTTAGAAAATGCTAAGTGGCAACAGTGTGAATCTTTGAACTTGTTTTGGATTTGTTTGACGCAGCTTGAATGCTGTGACTGAGATGTTAAATAGATTTTAGATTAGACTAATTTGTTTTGTATTCTAATAAATTCCCTTTTAAACTAGAATGAATCTTGATTGAGTTAGAAATACTACTGAATCACGCATTTAGAAATTTAGACGCGGCATTTAGATTCATTGTAGAACATTGTGAGATATGCCGTGCCATTATTGTTTACTGTACAATACTTTTAAAGCCTCATTAAAGAATACGTTTCACAATAAAAATAAGGAAATCAGCTTTTGTTAGACAAAGCTGAGAAAAATGTGATATAAATTTATAAAATGGGAAAAATTAAAAATGACACGTTTGATTTCATTGCAGATAATTTTAAACGCTAATCAGTTGCTAAAATCTCTTGTTTCTAAGATTAATAAATGGAAATAAAGAGTAAATGCAAAATCCATCTACGAAGAAAGGATGGAAAGAAATAGCCTTTGTAAAATGGCTAAAGACTTCTATAGCAAGCTTAATTTCCTTGCAAGTAATTCTTAAGAAAAACAGTGTGACATAAAATGATTTCGAAACTCCAAGAGAATAAAGTGACACCAAAGGAAGAGGCACAACTTCCCCTTCTGCTTAAAGTCTGCGGTATATTTTTTTAAAAAAGTAGAAAATCCCCTAATTAATATCTTTTCATCATTAATATTTTAAAAGATGGCGAGGAGTTTGTTTTATAACTCTGAAAATTTCAAAACTTTATAGCCATGCATTTTTTAATGTGTAAATTAAAAAATAATTGACGTTAAATAATTTTCACAAAATTACTGTGAAAATTTGCAAATATAACGCTGATTTTTGTTGTTTGACTACTAAATTAATACTTGTTCGGCGTGATATTTTAATTAGACGAGCGATTGTCGAAAATTCTCCAAAAAATCAAGTTAAATTAAATTTAAAAAAATTCCACATAAATTTCATTTAAAAGTGCTTTTTTTCTGCTGCAAACAGTAAAATTTTGAGATTTTGAATTTTTTCGTTAAACAAAGATAATTGTGAAAAATTGTTCAACACTAAATTATAAAAAATTTAAATTGTATTTTGAAAAAATAACTAACCATCGTTATCGGCAATATTGAGGAGTTACATACCACTGGGTTTCGCAAGAGGGATAGGCAATAAGAATCCCTCTCCAGACGAAAACACGGCTTGTTGGTAAACTCATTATTGTGGGGTCAAATTCACATATTCGTAGCGGCAAATTATGAGAAACTGCATGAATTCTCGTCTTAAAGGGATGAATATAGCTCAGTTTCTCAAAGCTGATCAAAAACCGTTTATATAGATAGGACATCTCATAGCTGATTAGAAATTGTTTGTATGGATAAGGCATTGCAGAGCCGATCAAAAACTGTTCATATTGATAGGGCTTAGCACTTACTGCTTAGCATTGTCTAGTCAAGGCATACTCTGTGTTGACCGAATGGCATTGGACGTTATATAGTTACACGATAGTCTTGCCAAACAGCAATGTAGAACTGCCTTCAGCTTATTCTTATTTTTGAAAGTGATTAAGACTTGTTCCCAGCATTCATGTGTCTTCGTATTTGCATTTACCCATCACACTAAGCAGTATTTAAGGATGGTAGCATTTACAAAATGTAGTATATATGCATAGGCACAACATAAAGCTCTACTTCCTTCGATATTACATAGGTAAATATTTATATAAGCAAATATATAGGCAAAAATTTATGTAAGCAAATGTTATACTGTCAATTTTGTGCCTTTTGGAATTTTTTGTTAGTATTAAGTGTCGCCATAATGTATTACCGTATTCTGGTTTTCTAAGTTTTAACAAAATTTATTATATTACTATTTTTATTCATTTA